ATCACTACTGGATCATTAGTAGATTCCTGTTTCAATGGCAAAGCACTTTCAAAGTCAGACCGAGGCTTCTCGAGACATGAAGACACGGCGGCACTCAACACCTGGGTGGGGTCAGCCTCAGCACCCGGCACGTCGCAAACGTTTATCTCTTGCACACTGAGACTGGTCTGACTACAGGATTGAACACAGTCATTGCCGCTGAGGTCATCGACAGATTCTTTCTCGCCGGTGATTTTCGTTTCACTTTCAAACGTCGGTAATTTAGTTTGTTTTCCCTCACGACAAAGTGCAACGATAAGTTCAGGAGTGGTCAGCAACGAAGGTTGGTGATCAGTTTCATTGTCCAGCTCTCCAGCATGAGGACATTCACTTTCTGCATTAATAAATTGATCGTCACAACTTTGATTACAGAAGCCAGGAAGAGGTTCATCAGGGAGACTTTTATCCACGCTTTCTTCGTGAAGAGATTTCGTTTCATTCTCTCCCTTGTCATTCTCACGAGGTTCTTCGAAACCTTTTTCAAAATAAATGAAATATATTTTAACATACGACCACGGATACGACACAATTAGCTTTTCTCACGATGACGTTTTGGGGTTTTCTGAAATCGGTTTAAACATTATGATTTAACATGAAAAGCAATTCTTTTAGAATCAACAGACCATTTGAAGAATAAGACTGTGGCCGTTAGGAAGTCTCACGCTTGCGGTTTTGAAAAAAAGTACGCCAAAAATGGCGGCATATTAATACGTCAAAAGTTAGCGCGCGCGAATTCATTTGGCGAATGAAATTGATGGCGTGATAGTTAACGTTAGCGCGCGCGAGTCAATGGCGCAAGTTCACTGGCGCGCGCAAATGGCGAATTGATGAGGTAGTTGCTAGGCAATTAATTATTGCTAGGCAACTACTTTGTTTGCCTGGCAACTAATTACATAAAATTTTATTCAAATGAATTTGCGTAAAATATACGCCGTAAATCATCGCAAATCTGGAAATTAAATTATTAAAATATTTAGAAATTTATTCTTACCTTCGTCTTTTTTTCCACTATCTTGGAGTTTGTTGTTGTTTATTTCTTCTTCGATCAAGATTTTCTTAGCATTGTTAATCAAAGAGAAGACGTAGTTTTGTATTTGTAGAAATTCTAGAAGCGGTGGCTGATACTTTCTTCCAGAGTATTTATCCAACCGATATCGATTTTGATTACTCGCCATTTTAAAAGAATTTTCACGCGTAAAAAGTAATGTTTTCACTTGCGCAGTCAATCAATTACGACAAAGCTAATTATTGCGTCAAATCTTTTTGCGCCATCGCGTCCGCGCAAAGCATTGTAGTAATTAATTATCGCACTGACCGCAATTAGATATAAAAAGAGGCATTTTATTTATTTTATTACTATTCCACATTGCAAAACAGCATTTCTTAATATCTAATTTGAAAACAATTTTCTTCGGTGAACTAAACCCAACTTGAATTTTCGTATTTGCATCAATCTAGGTAGGATGTGCATGGTAGATACAAAATTACTGACCCAAATGTTTGAGGCAAAACTATAGCAATTCAACCAAGACAAAATTTTCTAATCCCCTTGCAGTTCCAAGATCTTTTTTAAATGCATCAGAAAAAGTAGTTCCTAAAAAAAATTCATGCGATTGCATTACTAGTCCAAAATGATAGTGCAATGCTGGATCATGTTGTTATGTAGGATGTTACTATGAAGTTATAAGACCTTACATTGATCCAAAAGGAACTTACTATGTCGTATGATCCACTGAACATCTTTCTACAATCCTATAGCATCTTATCACAATGTTACAAAACTCATAATTAATTACATCTGTAAGCATCATATCATGATTCACATTAAAGATCTTACCATGATCCTAAATGTCTTAGCATAACCCTTCAAGATCTTCGAAGTGAAATTGATTTGTTGAATACATTTCCAGAAATAAGCTAGCAAAAACTGCAGTTAACCTAGATCCAACCGCGGTGAGACGGAGCGGGTTAAACCTCGGCCTAACTCGGTCTGACAGACACTGCGGTTTTTATCGGTCGACCGCAACCGAACTGCGACCGAACCGCAAACGCAGTGTCAGTAAGTTATTTCTGGACAGTACTGTAAGCTTTTTTCGATATTCCCCTATAAAACGTGATTAGGACTAAACAAATGAAAGAACTTGTCAGGAAATAGGGACAATAATGCCAATAGGTGCGAGTCGCGACAAAATGAGCAAAATGAGAATCGAGCAAAAAACGAGCGACTCCAGGACCGTCCAGATGTTAATATCGTTAACTATGTTCTGTGAGTCACTATTGGAAGGGTGTGATATACTTTCTGCCGACTGTGCAATCGTCACGAATGTGCAAACGACTGTCCAACGGTCGGCCCAGTGTGTCATGAATCAATAGATCATTAATCATTACAGGAAGAGTATCGGTCTCACGCATTAATTTATTCTAACACGTTGTTTCCGGTCTGCGAGAAAGCTTCTTATCCAGTGAGTAATCATTTAAAGTATACATTCATATTAGTCAACTTTTGAAGCAAATCAATCAGCAACAAATATGAGTACCCAATCAGCAACAAATCGTGTTAACGAGATAGGACGCAGATCCTTCGTTATATCATTAAGTTTTGTTGTTTTTAATTTTTAAACTAGGGATAATACCAAGAGGGACAATAAATTGTTGTATGGATTCATTAAAAATTGACGCTATACGGCCAGCGAGGAAAAGTGCATAAAATTTAAAAATCCAGATCAGTAAGTCCTCTGCCTCTGGGCCAGGTGATTTAGCGGACTGTAAGTGAGACATTTTATTGTAGACTTCATCCTCACTAATAATGAACTTTGCTACAGACTCGGATTGGTTGACTTGTCGGCTAGGTTGAAGAGGTAGCATATGTTCAGTAATAGCCGGAAACTTTCGTTTATCTTATCCGCTAATTGCCTTCCAGTAAGAAATTTCGTTATCTATAACCAGGTAGAGATTTGGGTCTTTCTGGGAATTATGATCACTAAGACCAATCAGCGATATATTTTGTGGTTGGTTATAATAATCTTTTAGGTTCGTTAAGATCAAATCGAGAAGAGCTTCTCCTCTGGTCATCTGTAACAAAATGTTATGATCAATGCTATCAAAAGCCTTTTTCAAACCAATGAATAAAAAAGAATTTATCAACCCACGGTCCATATTTGTGTACCATTTATCAGTGGCATCAAGCATAGCTGTTAACGTTGAGTAAAACTTGTCTGTATGTCTGATAAAAGATCATTTTTGTTTAGAAAAGAATATGCTTAGTCAAAAACAATCTTCTCAAATATTTTAGAAACTACTGAGAGGACTGAAATAGGCCTATTATTATTGAGGTGGCTGGAATTTCCGCTGCTAACTTAGGTCCGTTTACTAATAGCTACTGGATCTGTAACTTCGGTTCCAACTTGCAAAATTTTCGATATACTAGTTTAATTTTTTTATCAAGAAAGAAGGCTATTGATAAGATTCCAGGTTTCTTTAGTTCGGCCTAAATTGGTTTGAAATAAGGAGTTATAATGTTGTTTTTTTGCAATCTCTAATTTTGTATGTAACTACTTTCTTGGCAATTTTAAAGTTATCCCAATCATTTTCATCGTTTGTATAAACTGCTTTCTGCTTTAGTCGATCTCCCCCCCATATTAACTTTTTACATTCTACAGAAAGCCATTGGGCATGAGTTTTCCACATTCTTTTTTGTTTAACTGGGACGTGCTTATCAGCAATGTCAAGAAACAGTCTTTTCCAAATTTGCCAAGCAGAAATAGGATAATCAATAGAAACTGTGTTCAGCCATGGAATGGAATCAATGTCATGATTAAGAAAAATTTCGACAAAATTTTTATAGCGGTGAGATTTAATACAGATAGGCTTAGATTTAACAGTGGAGTGTTTTCTAATAGCGTAAACTAAAGTATGGTCACTTATGCCACGAACTATCACGCCTGTTAAACTCAATACAATAAATATTCAATACAATAAATATTCAATACAATAAATATTCAATTTTATCTAAGATTACCAAATCACGTTCGATCATTCCTAACTAAGGTATATTTATCAACTGAAATTTGGGAATCACTAATTGACTCGTCCAGACGAGTTTCGTTTAAAACTGGTATATCTAAATAGTGATTTTGCATAATAATTATGTAGTCTTAAAACATCAAAATGTTTGCGTAAACTTCCAATGTTTAAAAAAGCAATTTTAAAGCCTCTGTGTTTAGTTAGGTAACTTAGGTTGAAATCAGTTTGTTTCTGCATATTTAAGTTGCATCTATTAGGAGTAGGAACGTTTCGGCTAGACACACCTGTCGATATACTAATCATTGATTAATAATATAAGAAGAAATTGATTTAGCAATAATAGAAGTATCTTTCCTGTTTTTCTACAAACCCTACGATGCAGTCCCATATGGGAAGATGCATACACAAGAATGGATCCATGTGGATAACCGAGACAACGGTGAGTAAATGTCACAAGGTGTACGGGTTCGACAATAGGGATCTTTGGTGTACACCGCAATGCAAGTCGACGAAAGATTGTTCCCGATTTCAAATCGTAACTACAGGCAACGACATTTTAAGACTTCAGATGGAGATTAAAAATATATCATTTATGTAGAAACTGATTTGTCAATATATACCCGAGGCCACGGCATTAGTGATCTCTAAAGCATATCGGCAGAATCGTTTCAACAAACGCCGTCGTACTCGTTCAAATAACAGTCAGAACTGTCAGAAACTGTTAGAATGTGTAAATAGAATGTTTTAATTTAATTTAATTCATTAAAACAAATAAATTTCGCACAAAGATAAAAAAATGCAATAATTGCTAGGAATTATACACTGATTTATTTTCTTCTTGCCTAAACATAAGGTAGAGATAACATGACCTATGATTGATCAGCTAACTTATACTAGGAGTTCCTATCGGAAGTGATTCTGCCTTGGAAATAGGAAAACATGATATCATATAGATCTTATTGCTAATTACTTAAATTAGTGCGGATTATTCCCGCCTTGCCATAGATATTTATACTTTGAATTGTTATAGTATCGTATATACAGGTACTTAATTGGGGCAATCTGCAGTCACAAAGTGTATATCGATCATTTTGTGTAATCGCTAAGAGACTTCCATCAATCATTCCTGTACAAATACATCACACCAGGAGCTGCTTTAAGGTTTTTTGAGCCCAAACGTTCAGTTGAATTATTGAGTTCACAACTCAATGATGAGGAAATGAAATTAAATGATCGACAGCTCTTCTCAGCGAAGCACTTCATGCCGCATTGTGCAATATTTTTGACGTGAAATTGAGAAAAAACAAAACCATTCAGCTGATGATTCTCAACACAAGTTGTGTACATGGTTATGCATTCTATAAGAGAGGAAAAATAAGACTTCCTCGTAGTTTTTTAGCATATCGATCGAGCTAAACGATCTCTGAAAATTATTACGAGGTTGCGGTATAGGTTAGTACTGTTTGGGAAAAGTATGAAACATAAATTTGGGTTAACAAGTTCCAGCCAGATTGCCAGTAAACTAGATACGAGTTGTGAGAGAAGCGTTTTCCATCTCCTTTGAGATACGATGGATGAATTATCGTTTATCAATTGCAAAAAAACAATACCACATTCCAAAAATGTCCAGATATATACTCAATAGCCAGCTATAGAGCAGTCCTATATTCAGGGGATTAAAGACGATCTTGCGTAAAGTATTACCTTTTATTGGGCACAGAGGTAATCTGCAGTACAGCGAATCTACCACTTTGCTTAGCCCAATCCATTCCGCTTCGCCTGAAATACCGTTCACAACTCCAAATGGGATAGCTTCCTCGCTATTTTTCTGATGAACGGAAGCGTGAGCCCACGATGTCAACACCGCGGTGTCCCACGCTGATGTGTTTGCGTCCGTACCCGTACACATCCATTTTTTACCCGACGTCACAAAAGAATTGCCGATACCGCCCAAAATTGCGCTGAATTTTTCATTCGGGAGAGGCTTTCCACAGCGAATCACGAGGATGGATGACTTTGGGGGGATAATGGTTTCTTGTGCAATCGTGTAATTGGAGGATTTACTGTTGACCAGTTTGCTGTCCACGTAGACAGTCATGTTTCCATTACAAGTGAGCGTTGCTTTCATTTGTTCCACTGTTGCTGTATTTTACGATAATGAATAAGATGAAATTGGTGCATGGAAACACGCAGCTTCTGTCTTACTAGACCGATCGAACAGTTTTGTACTATACTAAGAGACTGTTGGGTCGGCCTAATGTTGACGAGGTGTGGACTTTGAGGGACTCAATGTGGATATCGCAGGAGATCGATGAACGTCAAATCGATGCAAATTTTTAATTAAGTTTAATTTAATTTAATTAATTTAGTTTAATTTAATATAAGTACCTACAAGCTGAGTTACTTAAGTTTAATTTGTGTCTATCGAATTAGATAGAAACTCATAAGCGAGGCTTTTCGATGATTTTTCCTTCTTTAAAAACCGTTTAAATAAACTGATAAGCCGAACTGAATCAACATGAATAATATCTTTTTTAAGTTTCTATATTGTCAAACACAATATTTTTTTATAGCTATAAAGTTGACCGTTTTATTTAAAATTACACAAGGGCCTCTTGTGTTTGTTTGTAAGTGTAATAGTGATTATACTTCACAAATTCCGGTCGAAATATATGGAAAAACATATGGTAGATACGTAGACACGTGGAAGAAAAAACCCAACCTGCTACAAATGAACAATAATAAAACGCAGTTTTAATGAACAATATACAAAAAAAAACAAAGTACAAAACAGGCAAACATTTGTCTAAATCCGTAACTGAAAACATTATGAATTGAGCATTGTTTTTGCATTATTGTCGTCAATCGTTGGTTTGAAGTAGAAACGTTGGTTGAAGGAGATGCCAATCGCCCATTTTGAGGATATCATTTAGTGGCAGCTGTTTCTTAGCGCCGTTGAAGTTGAGGCTGATTTGTGGAATGCGCTTTGAATATCGTTGAATCGATGCTCGAAGCTGTTATTATATCCCATGACCACCTGGCGACTTTGCTGTTGGAAACCGGTCGATGCGGACGTAGGGGCCAGAAAAATAGTTTCTTTCAGTCAGGTAGTGTACGGAAATCACTTGTAGCAATCATGCAAGATTGCAGGCGTTTTAAAGGACACGGCGTGTTGTCCTCAGTCTGGAAAGTATGGAAAAGCTATCGGAGGGAGAGTTCTGTCTTCCGAGGTATAGAAGTGTAAATATGAAACCATCGGGCTGAATTTTTATTTGAGATCAGATATAACAGAGGATCTCTCTGGTGATATTAATGCTTGTAACATCAGAATTTTCTTGGTTAAAAGTTTTAACTCATCATTATCACTCAGTGAAGACAAATATGAGGTTACCCTGAAGACATCCCATGTTGAAGAATATCTCGGCTTGCACGGTCGTTCATTAGAAATACCTTTCATTAATCGTATAACGAAAGGATTTTGCCATCCAACAGGCTTGCCATCAACCCATGGATGTACGGACGATATGGCAGAACAAAGAACGTTTATGGTAGGGTATTAGAGGAATCATCAAATTGATAATTTAGGAAACTTTAAATGTCCCTGATATTTGTCGAAATCGGATTAATTTGCCTTGTAGCACACCAGCTATTCCACTTGCTCCATGCGGAGCCGTGGGCCTTATTTGTCGACTGTTGTGTAGCAGAGGACAATCACTAATTGGGTAACCGTTCCCGAAAACCCTTCTGCTGAGCAGCGTTGTTGGAGATGAGCCAAACAGCTAGCTGGAGTCTTGGATACAATAGGTGGGTTGCCCTTAGATTGGTCGGATCCTCCAGGAGTGTTTGTGAGGATGGAAGACGAACTGGTAGGCGTATTGCCAGTTGTAATAACGGAGGCCACTAATGTTGTGCTTGCCAAATTAGAGCGAACAGGAGGAGAGTTGCGTTCTTCACTTTCATTAGGGTGCGAGGGATCAGACTGAACGGAGGGAAAGCATAACCCCTCCAGCACCCGGAAGATATTCTGCCTTCACGTAAATATTGTGTTGTAGACACCAATATCATAGTTCTAATGTCAGAGACATTAACCCTGGGTAGCGGGCTCCGCCCTGGTTGTCATATATGTACGAGACAGCTGTCGTATTGTCTAGGCGCAATTTTACTGCCATGTTCGCCTGATGTTTCAGATATGACCGTATTGCAAGAAAGACCGCATTCAGTTCCAGAACATTTATGTGGAGGAGCCTCTCCTCGTGCGACCAATTTCCGCATGTTGCTCCCCAGCCCATCTTAGAGGCGCCTGTTGTTATAGTCATTTCGTATGAGGGGGCGAATCGGGTTTCCGTTAGCTCGATGGATATTCTGAATCTACCACTGCAGTGCGCCCAGGGGTGGACTTCTCAGATACACCGTACCCTGATAACCCGATTGTTCAACGTTACCTGCCCGATCAGGCATGACTGAAGGTGCCGGAAATGGAGGGGAGAAAGCCAAACCGCTGGTCGGCAAGACTCTAAAAAACCCAACAGTTAGCGTGTGTAATGATGTTGGATTCTCCTTCAGCAAGGATTTGCACAGGAGGGAGGTTTTCGCTATTTTCTCTGGAGGTAAAGAAAACTTCATGCTGACTGAGTTGATTATAAATCCTAGAAACTCTGAGTTGGGACAAGAATTGACTTTTTGTAGTTGATTATGAACCCCAGATCGCGAAACAAATTTATCACAACCTGTGTGTGTTCCTGTAATGTCACGGGGATGACGCTACTAGAAGAATATCGTCAAAGTAAATCAGAAGTCTGATGTTGTGGGTGCGAAGGAATGCTACGCCACTGGTTTGAGCAGTTTTGTGAACAATCGTGGTGCTACATTTAGACCGATCGAATGGCAGGGTTTTGAACTGGTAAACCTGCCCCTGGTAAAACAGGTATATCTGTGAGTCAGGGTGAACGCTGATGGTTAGATATGCATCCTTGAGGTCTAACTTGACCAGAAAATCTCTTGGGTTGATAATTTGTTATGCGCATAGCAAATTTTCTATCTGGAAATTTTCGTTCTTTACGAAATTGTTTAACTACCTGAGGCCTATGGTGGGTTGAAATGAGCCTCCCTATTTTGGGACAAGGAACAACAGACTGTAGAAACCCTTTCGAGGAAATTTTACGGGGATGATTGCCTACTTGCTTAGTAAATTTGTTGTTTCCTCATTCATCCCGTCCTCTTTGGATTTATTTAAGGGATTTTTTGCTGTGGTTCCGAATGAAACTCCTGTTTATAACCTCGAACCTGTGTCTACGATCTGTTAGTCCTGAGTAACACTTTGCCACTGGTGAAGAAAAAAGGGCAGCCGAGCTGTTCTCTGAGATATTAGCGGGGCTAGTTGCGATTCCACTGGTCCCGCATGCCACGAAAAGGGCTTAACATTAGTCGAAAAGGAGCCTCGTTGAAACCTCGCTGACCTGTGCTGGGTAGGCTTCGGAAAGTTAAAATTGCCAGTGCCGCGGAACGGCCACCTGCAGGGTGTGGTTTTACTTTATATGGATGCTTTTGCAAGTTCTTAGTAAGGCTTGGCGATAACTCGGAATGCTTAGTTGCTAGGGAGGGCAAATCGTCCCCAAATTCATAAAAATCATCCCCATTCGAAAATTCACGATCCGCTAACTGTGCCTTATCAGGATTAATCGCTCCGAAAATCTTTTTCCGGCGTTTGGTTTTCACAATGTGATTGGCAGAACCCAAAAGCACAGCGATTGTTGTAGGGTCTTCAACAATTCTTCGTTAGAAATCTTGGCCTGATGTTCAAGGCGATCATGAAGGCAACAAAGAGGGCCGGCTAAATTTAGTAGTGCGCGTTGAATAAAGGCCAAATCTTTGTCTCATTGTTCAACGAATTTTTTTTCGTTGCCGGGAATGTAATTTAAGATCTGTTTGTCCTGTATAAAGGAGAAATGCGAGCGTCTATCTCGAGGAGATCATTTTCTCCTATAATTTCGCTAACTTAGTCTAATGTTAGGCGTTTGCGCATGTTTTTTCTCAAGAAATTTGCCAAAAGAGTCTGAACGAGATCATTGTCGTGGATGGAGCTCTGGGGATCAAATAACTCGCAAGAAGCTTCTTCTGCCGAAACGACAGTGTTCGGGTTAGAGGTATCGTTTATATTTGTCGGCTCAACGCCATCTAAAGGTGGCATAGGGCCAACTAAAGGGGCCTCAATGGTAGAGTTGTTGTCTAATTCCTTCGGCGAGTCCCACGGGTGAATTGACAATTCCCCAAAACCTGCCGAAGTTGTGCAATTTCGTCTCAATGGCCGATACGCGACATTGCTTAATTATCGTTGACACCTTCGAGAATTTTAGTCAAATTTCAGTGTTATTTTCCTGCCTTCATTTGTGATCGCGGCGATTATCTCGGTTTTCCGGGTCTTTTAGCGAAGATTTTTCGCTTGCATTTAGGGAAGACACATGATCATGCACTACGTTGACGTTTCCGAGTAGATTTATCAGACATCCTAGAAAACTAAAGCTTAAAAGCAAGATAAAGCGTAAAATAAATGCAAAGACCTCTTACCGTATGAGTGTTACACGCAAGTGAGCACGAAAGAAAAAGGTTCCGGAAGCGTTAAAATGTGAGTTAGAGCACGGTAAGGCAAGCTTTACCATATGTTTTCTCATGTATTTCGACCTGAGTTTGTGAAGTACTTGCTTCGACTTAGTAAACGGCTAGCTCTGTAAAAGCTATTATTCATTATTCAAGCAAATGTAACATTACCACAAACCTCCATTTCTACACTTAAGCTCTCCTTGCACAAAAACTCCCGCCAAAATCGTAAGGAAAGGCCAAAACATTTTACTCAACTGATAAGACATATATACTCAAACGCCATTTTTATTATATGAGCTGACCAATTCATTAATCATGATAAATTTTGAATATGAAAACCCTTCAAATTGAGCCTTATTTGATGGTCGAGCGCAGTTGGCCGGTTATGATTAAACCTTTCATTATTTTTTCTGCAAACAATCTCATTTTCCTGACATGTTCATATTTCTTATTTGCAAGAGCCATGAAAAATTGAATTTTGTTTGCGTTGAGTGTCTAATTTCAAGTCCAACTAGAGAAACGGTAAATCGAACGAGGACATTAGAAATTAGACTAGAATTACAAATTGTAAGTGAAATGCTGCGAGTGAATACACGTAGTGCCTTTATCTTCCCCCATACATTTCTTGGACAGTCTTCAGGATAGTAATAAAAAATATTGCATATAAAAAAACTTGACTTGTTTATATTATGAAATAGGATCGATAAACGTATCGCGGTTATGCAGATGAGAATTCTCTCCCGAGTTGAGGTAGCATTTGAAGTATCACGCATATGCATAGGATGAAACCGCTGTTCTATGGTACATGTGCAGAAAAAAATCATCCTGACAAAAATTCCTGACAAACTAAAATCGCTGACTGAATCGAGATGCACGCAATTAAGAAAATAGGCTGCACGCTTCGCTCGCAGCAAATATCGCCTTGCCTTTTAATAATTCCTTGTTATTGCAGTTTGCTGTCAATTATGCTTAATGAAGCCGTTGCACTTTTATTTAGTCGGTGTATTGCGTATTCGTTTACAATCTTTGAAAATAAACACTCATTGGCTTATATATCCTGCTTTTAATTGGAAGGTCGAGAATCGTTTGTCATCAATCATAGTTTGTCACTTAAATGAATTGTCAATGCGTTGTAGTCGCAAATATTAGCTATTAATGAGAAAATACATGCATGCAACAACCCCGCGCTATTAATATTTCAAACCAAGTCCAAGTACACAATTTCCTGAGCTAACCTGACCTAAACTTATATTATGAAACGACACAAAACTCAAATGTATTTTATACCGAGTATATTATAGACATTATAATTAATGTTTCGATCACTCAATACAAAAATAATCATAAAGCTAGTGTAAACATTGCCCGTTCAATTTTGCATGTTTGCTGCATTATACCATGGCAGCAATTAAGTATTATTATACAAAATTATACAAAGCTGAAAATTAAACAAATAAACCGCATACAAAGCTGACTGCCATATCCAAAGACACATACCTTTTCCGTGTTAAAACATGGTATGATTTTTACCTCGTGTTAAAACATGGTATGATGTAATCCCAAAATAATTTTCCATTTATTAAGATCTCGCATTTACCACGAACACGCAATAAACACGCAACTAGACCCAGACCTCTCACGGTCACCTACCTCTCGACATCCCCTTTAGTAACAACCATTATACCTCAAATTCAAATAGCCCAATCAAAAAATATTATTTGTACCATGTGACGAGGATGTTTTTCGCGGTATCATATCCTAATCCCCTATTTCGGAGTTGGGGGTGTGACATTAAAATTATCACACTGTGATATTTTAATAAATATAAGAAATTTATCTCACCCGACGTCTCGCGAGAACTACATGCACTATCTGAAAAAAATGGCGGGAAGAAGTTAACGATTCTGCAGAGAAAATTAACCGTATTCTCGACGAAAGACATACAGAAAACACAAAAAAGTCGACTAATGTTAAAATGCGTTTTACAGATATTTTTTTTCGAATACTTTTTTTCTTCGAGTACTTTTACTGATTTAGAGAAATAATTCTCCGAACCTTTGTACTGTATGTTTGGCTATTCTACAAGCTCACAATACTTTTTCGGTATAAATGTATAATACATCATTAATTTTATAGATCCCCGGCTCTGGGGATTCGGAAAAAAAAAATAATTTCCCTCAGTAATGATGATTTCCCTCGGGCAAAGCCCAAACCCTCGGAAAATATCATCACTTCGGGAAATATTTCGCCGAGTCTCCCTCAGTGCAGGTCAATAAATGATAATGGCCAGTGAACTCTGCTATGGTATGAGATCACTGAGCTAACACAATGGAGAGAGCAACTATAAATACAGAAATTGAGGCCTGAAGTAGCGTGCGCCTGCCATCTTACTGTGACCTCCTTGAGGAGTTAACTATAGGAAAAATGAGATATATTCCCTGTTTTTGTTTTGTTATCGCGAGGTAGAGGACTAAATACCATTTCAAACAAAAGAACACATGCTTTCAAGAACATTGGGGGCCTGTTTTACATTCAAATGAACTCAATCGTAAACAAATAGTTCAGTATTTTCGACGACGTTTTAAGGTGGATTTCCACTTATAGCAAAATCGTTCGCTAGTGAAATATTTGCATATTTTCTTTGAATTCTAACAGCATAAATAAATTACTGTGACTCAATGAAAAAAAAATATGCAAATATTTCGCGAACGAGCGATTTCGCTGCAAGTGGAAATCCGCCTTTAGAGTGTGACAGGAATTTACCTGACATTAACTATTGTATGCATGTTCCCTCTCATTCCTTGCGGCACGTCTCCGTTTATAGTTCGCCAGTTTGATACGCAGCTACCTATAGCTTGACGCGTTATTTGCGTTGTTTGCGTTCAGAAAGGAAACTTCTAATCCAATTTGTAACTGTCGAGGATACTTTCATTTTATATAACTTATCTAGCAGGATGTTATGGTCTATTAGATCGAACGCTTTAAAGAAGTCGAGCAAAAAACCCTTACAGCCATTTTTGGTGTATCCGATTCATATAACAAGTGATGTACAAAACTTAAAAGGGCGTGAGCTGTCGAGGAATTTTTCAGGGCACCAAATTGTCGCTTATCGATCTTCTCCTGTATATACTCCAGTAGCCAACAATCGCTTGTTGGCTGGAAGCATTATAAATTGATGCTATAGGGGGAGCGAGTACATGGGCGTAAGACTTCAAGACCCAATTTGGAATACCGTCTGGACCAGGAGATTTGGAAGTCGATATAATGGACAATTTTTGATAAACTTCTTCTTCTTTGATGATAAATTCTGGTGAAATTTCAGAATGGCTGTTTTCCAGTAAATTGTCGATATGAAAATATTTCAAAGGTGGAATTTCTATGGTAACTGAAAAAAAGCGTGATTAATATTTTCGGCAAGGGCTTTTCCTGACACCAGTTGGTTGCCCACGACAAAATTTGAAAGGACTTTCTTCTTAGGGTATCCCGATGGCTGTTTTATTGCTCCCCACCAATTTTTTTGGTTCGGTTGTAACTTTAGTTGTTCTAATTTTTTATCAACAAATGTGGATTTAAGCTTCTTACTTTCACTGTTTACCCGATTGCGTATTTGCTGATAATGTAAACTTTTTTCCTTGTTGGAATGCCTTTGCATGAAAAAATTTAGCGGCGAATCATGTTGCCATCAATGAGTTATAAAGAAGCCCGGAATTTTACTTGTATTCCTTTACTATATAAAAGCAAGGAGAAAAACATTATGTGAACAATTCTTTAAAAAGAATGAGAACAATGATAAATTGAGCGAGTTTTTGCACTATAAATCGCTAACAGACTATGATATGCGACCAAGATGTAAGTATAAAAATTTTCTATGTAGAACTGAACATTTCAGTAAATCATCTTTTCTTCAAATAATTTCTAAAGAGAACTGTAAATAATCCCTTTGGACTTTAGTAAACAAGCTTAATCGTTACAGTGAGATACCGCAGCGCCGTCTTTCGCCTGTATAAACGAAACAAATGACTATATTGTACATGTCTATAGCCGACTACATTATTATAGCTGAGTGTCTTGTGTTTTGTACCAAGGTAAAAAGGTGCCGATGTGTTTTTTACGAAATTTTACCAGAGGCTTATCGAAACAGCGCTGAGCCTATTACGCCGGGTCTTAACGTAGGTAGCGCGGTCACAACGTCATGCTATCTTTTGCAATGACCAGGCTACTATGGTCTTAACGTCAGTTCATGCAGCATTACTTTTCGGCCTTGTTTTCGGAGGAGGACCTGCGACACCTGTAATACTTTCCACCGCGAATTTGAAGATTTAGTTGTAGCAGGCACTCAGCGCTGTCACAGAAGCTACCGAAGAAGACATCGAAGAAATCCTATAGAAAAGGTAAAGTGCTTATTTTTGAAAGGCGTTTCTAGCAACTCCATCTTGAGTGTAAAGTATATATGCCTCCAACATTATTCGCGGATATGTTTATGGAAAATAACTTACGAAAGAGCGAGCGCAAGAATTGAAAATGTTAAGCCTTTTATTTATGGCAAAACACCGTTGTTTCTCTCTCTCTTCAAGAAGCTGTAAAGTTTTTAAATGAAAGCAATTCCAAGACAAATAAATTGCTTTTTATAGCATCAGATGGAATCCCTACAGATGGTATAGTAATGAAGATACCGAGAATATCAATGAATTGACGAAAAAATTAAAAAAGCAGACGCTTGTATGATACATTGGAACCTTCTTGGGAATCCGGAACCAAGTTTCTGTTTCGATTAAGCTCTGAAGTGCTTCTACCACGAGCAATTTTAGTCAAACAAGGTTGGACAACCGATAGTACTAAGAATGAAAAGTCAATCATCCCGACAATTAAAAATATAATTAAAATCAGTTAAAGTCAATGATTAACGATTGAGAGGTATTAACACAAAATGGACTTTCTGAGGAACGGGGTGTCGGATTATTTTATAGGGCTATATCTTTTCAAGCTCTAAACAGTGAGTTTTGAACTTTTTTAAAGAAATTCGCTCGTAAAATAGGTGTCAAAAACTGCATTACGCTGTCGCATTAACTGGATTAAGTCTTAGGGGCAACATGATTAATCACATTAACCATTCCTTGATTGGAACTATTATCCTGTCTCATCCTGGCAAGATTAGTTAAAGACGTTGAGGAAGCCTTACGTCAGGAGTTATATTTGCAAGATTCAATTTGCGGGACCGACTCGAAAGTAGCGTTGTT